CATTTATAAGTGATTAGTTAATGATGAACTAATCATTTACAAAACATAACTATGCGTTCATAAATGATTAATAAGTGATATGTTAATATTTTTTTGTTTTGTAGATTAAGTTATAAATAATTTACAAGTGATTAGATAATGATGAACTAATCATTTAGAAAACATGACTATATGTTCACAAATTATTATTAAGTAGTATTGCTAATGATTTACAAATCTGTCGTAAGTTATCTTTAAAAAATAGCATATCATGTTATAATTAAACAGATCCTTAGTAGATGGTTAAGTTACTAGTTCATATATTATTAATCACTTATAAATCATTGAAATGTCAACATTGTATTATTATCTCACAGCATCAAAATACTCCATGTGTTTCAGAGAAGACATCTGTCTAACCCCCACCAGTCAGCCTTTACTTTGCAGTACACACGATAAAGTATTCAAAACCTGTTGTGTAAACGCATTAATAAATCATTTACAACACTTTCTGCATCCCCTAATCTAAAGTGTAAACTACTCATCAGTTGTAAATGTTTTACTCATCATTCGTAGATCTTTCACCCCAGTGTGTACACACACAACCTGTAACTGGCAGGTTTGTAAAACATTTACAAAGACATCATTCAGTTTTTGTCTTTCTCCAGGTTTTTCATTCAGATACTGAAACTCGTCCTTCAGTATCAGTTTGAACATTTCTGATACTACAAAAACACAAACACAGCACAACTACTTATGCTTTTCTATTACATTTACATGAGCAGAGCTGAACAAACTCATTTAATTATTAATCATTTAATTATTTTTCATTTTTATATTTTATAACTATTTCATTAGTATTACTATTTTCTTATTATTTAATAATAGTAATAAAAAAATGATGGTTGATAGAAGACTGTTAATACAGTTTTTGGTGCTAGACAACTCTTTCTAATCTTATTTGAATACCAGACAAAACACATTGTTTTCTGACCGGACCTGGCGTCCAGGGCAGGATCTGATTCATCTGACGTGGAGACTTGATCTGATCTAACATACAGAAGTGTTCTTCTAGTTCAGTTGTGAGTGTTTTATGTTCCCTTGTTTCTAAAAAGTCCTTAATACAAACTGAAAAAGCAGATGACTACAACCATGAGTGTCCAAATATGACAAGAAATAGGGATGCAATAGTTCCTCTAACAAAACCTCTAATGATATAAATCACATGTATATTATTAGTTAACTGAAGACTGACTCTGTATGCTGATCTTTGGGTTGATCATGGATAACTTGAGCTGCTCCAATTAAAAAAGACAAACTCCACATTATGAGGATAAATGGCACTCTTAATATCTTATTTTAAGGTTTAATCCAGGAGTAGACTTTAAACTACTGTTACTAAGACCCTGAGATCATATTGTGCTCATATTGATGAACAATAACAATACCTTGATGCTGGAAACACCAGGATTCTTCAGTACATTCAAATTCTGAACTCTGCAAGAGAAGAATAGATTTTTTTTCACTTAAAGAATATAAAAAGCTTACATTTGAATATTTTTCCTCAACTTAAGCATTTTCTCATTTTACAGCAGATTCTGGATTTATTTTATTAACCAATTAACTACTCATCAACTACCACGTTTTGAAAAATCATATTTTGTTATAATTGCTTTTCAGTTTTTAAATGTTTTACATATACATTGAGGTCACACCTCAATTTTGGTATTTTCTAAGGGCACTAGCAAAAAGAAACGGAAACATCACCCAACTTTCATTATCCCACGTTTATTTATTAAGATCAAGATTTATTAAGATACACTAAGATCACATCAATATTTCTTTGCTGAGCTGCGTATGATCTATCTGTCACACATTGACTCTGAAAGGAGTGAAATTATTTCCTTATAAAATAAATTCTTTGTAAAGCCAAACACTCAGAAACAATGGGCTTCGATCAAGATAGGAAGATCTGGAAGAAAGACCATCTGCTCTTCAGTCCCTTCACCCATCCTTCCTCCCTGGGCACATGGTCCAGGTCACTAAAAGTTGACAGAGAAATGCCAAGAACTCAAGTAAGATTTCTTTGTTTTTGTTCTGGTAGTATTTAAGGGAATGTTGCAAATCAGTCTTTGGGATTCTGTAGTCAGAAAAACCCCCATGCAGTGTGTGAGAGTCTCTGGAGCTCTGCACCAGAACTCTCACTGCTGTGTGTCTCTCTGCTGTCAGGTACTTCTGTAATTACAAAAATGTAATTGTGTTAAACACATTGTGCCTGTGACGACCCTGAGTGTTCTCCTTACCTGTTGGTGGCAGACTGTGGGAGTTTTGAGTCACTCCCGCTCTTTTATGTTGTGGCTTGTAACAAGCTGGCCCTAACATAAAATTGGGGGCTCGTCCCGAATCGCTACATGTATATGATGTTTTTAGTGTTCACCGGTGTAAATGATCAGACTTCAGGTATTTAGAGTGTTCTCAGCTGGGTTATAATCCTTCCATCGGGACACTATTTGTTATTTTTGTTTGTTGTTTTGCCTTTCTTATTTTTGAAGGTTATTCTGGGCGGAGGTTTTAAAATCTCTGTCGGGGGTACGCTTCGGGCTTTTGGTTTAAATGTACCAATTGTCCCAGAGTTTAGCGTTTAAATGCCGCCTCGAGCCTGGTACACCTTTGAAGATTAGGTAGGTTTAGTTAGTTTGGTAGTTAGGAGCTGAAGTCTCATTTTCATTTAAGGTGACACTATTTGCTGTTTTCTGTGCCCATGTTGTTTGTTATGCCTGCCAAGAGTATGATGATGTATGGAATGACTTGTGGTAAGTTTTCATTTATCTTGTAATTGGGTGGGGTTTGCAACTGGACCGTGTTATGTTGTGACGATCCCTGGTGAAGTGGCTTATGGGATTTGTAGTTTCAACATTGTAGTTTATAGTGGCGTTCTCACATTTTTTGTTCTGTTAGCTCAACTCGTATTGTACCAAAAATGTCTTCGGTAGTCGAAGATTTCTTCGAGTTTCCTTCAGAAATTTTACTGGAGAGATGCACAAAGGAAGAATTGTTGCAGAGCGTTTTAGAGTGGAGGTAACGAGTAACGACAAGAAGCTTAAAGAAACTCTGATGAACACTGTGAGAAGTGCACTTTATGAGCGGGGTGTTTTAGAGGTAAGAGCTGAAGTTATTAACCCTGAAGAGTCTTTAACGTCTCCTCTTTTTGATACTGACAGAAATGTAAAGTTTAGAGAAATGTCTTTTCAAGAAAAGCAGCTACATATTGATGTGGAAAAGCTTCGTGCTGAACGTGACGCTTGTGCTTAGAAAGAGTTGGAGAGAGATGTTGAGGTAAAGAAATTACAACAACAGTTTGACATGCGAAAAATTGGAGTTGCAGTTTGAAAAAGAAAGGGAAGAAAGGCAGTTTCAGTTGAGGAAACTTGAGTTAGAAATGACTGCGAAAACTGTTGCAACTCCACTGTCTGTATCATCTAATGAATCAGTCTCTGCGGCACCTGGTTTTGATGTTTTTAAAAACATTAGAATGGTACCGCCGTTTTCTGAGAGTGAGGTAGAGAAATATTTTTCTCATTTTGAACGTGTCGATGAAATGGCCCAGAGAATTTTGGACATTATTGCTGCAATGTGTGTTAACAGGGAGAGCACAGGAAGTTTATTCAGCGCTGACTGTTGAGCAAAGCGGTGACTATGAAATTGTTAAATCCGCACTATTGCAAGCATATGACTTGGCACCTGAGGCATATCGTCAGCGATTTTAGAAGTTTTCTAATTTGAGAAGTGCACTTATCTTGAATTTGCCAGAGAAAAAGAAAACGTGTTTGATTGTTGGTGTACCTCGATGAAAGTAACCACTAGGGAACAGCTTAGAGAACTGATTCTTTTGGAAGAGTTTAAACATTGCGTACCGAATGCTGTCGCTATGTATTTAAATGAGCATAAGGTGAGTAAGTTGTCAGATGCTGCTCTCATGGCCGATGAATTTGTTCTTACTCCTAGGGGTTCGACTAGCCATTTAAATGATTTGCATAGACCTAAGATGAGTGTCTTTTGGAAAGAGCAAAGCGACTATAGTACGTCAGAATGTTGTTTTTAGTTCTTCCACTGATCATGCTGTTGCTAATACACGTATAAAAGGAGAGATTGTTTGCTTTTATTGTAAAAAGGCAGGACATACAATTTCTGATTGTGCTGTTCTTAAGAAAAAGGAGAGAGCTGCTAAAACTGTCAGATTAATTTCTACATCATGTGAGAATCATAGTCCTGCCCAATCTGTAAAAAAACAGCCTAAGCAGAGGGATATCTCTGAGGTGGAGATTGAGGATGTTAAGAGTCATGATGATTATGCACCATTTCTTACAGAGGGGACTGTCTTTGCCTGGTTCTGAGAAGACCGTTCCTGTTTGTATCCTTCGAGATACAGGGGCTGCGCAGTCCTTTTTATTGGAAGGACTTCTGTCTTTGTCTGATAGAACTGCTACTGGAACTCACGTACTAGTTAGAGGGTTTGAGATGGGGTTTATGGAAGTTCCTTTACACCGCATACATCTCACCTCAAAACTGGTGTCAGGTAATGTTGTCGTTGGAGTTCGTGCTGTGCTTCCTGTTCCTGGTGTCACTTTTATACTTGGCAATGATATAGCAGGGGGAAATGTGTGGGAAAAGTCAGATGGTGGAGTTCCACCTATAGTGGTTCCTGATGTAGGTAAAATAGACCACTCCCCTGACTGTCCTAACTCTATTCCCTGCATGTGCGATAACCCGAGCCAAGGCCAAGAGAATGATATCAGACGAAAGGGAAAGTATTCTTGGTGATGCTTTTATTTCTTCTGTGAATTCTTCCCAGCCAGAATGTAATACTGTGTGCACTAGTATTGAGGATGAGATTCCTGTGTTTGAGTTAATATCTGTCATTGACAACGTGGAAAAATCTGATTCCCAGCCTGAAAGTCAATTTTATTGTGATGACCATGTTAATGCTTGTTCTTTATCTCCACTGTATAATGTAACTCGAGATGAACTAATCCGAGAACAGCGGTCGGATTGCACCCTCCAAGATCTGTTTTCTTTGGTGAAAGAAGGAAGAGGTGAACAGAATTCACTTCCTGTCTACTTTCTTCGGGACGGATTGTTCTGTAGGCAACAACCTATGTGTTCTGATGTTTTAATAGACCCTAGGATTCAAATTGTGGTTCCGGTTACTTTTCGTCAAGCAGTTCTGCAGTTATCTCATGAAGGTGTCGCTGGTCATATGGGTGTACGAAAGACCTATGACAGAATTGAGAAAATTCTATTGGCCTAGAATCAAGCGAGATGTAATTAATTATATACGGTCTTGTCATACGTGTCAAATGACCGGGAAGCCAAACCAGAAAATTCAGTTGGCTCCGTTACAGCCTATTGCTGCTGTTACAACTCCTTTTGAACATTTGATTATCGATTGTGTTGGTCCTTTACCGCGATCTAAAGCTGGACATGCTTATTTACTGACTGTAATGTCAGTCCACACGCTATCCTGCAGCCTATCCCTTGAGATCGATTACTACTAAATCGATTTTAAAGGCTCTAACCAGCTTCATGTCTATTTTTGGGATTCCGAAAAATATTCAGTCTGATCAGGGCTCGAACTTCATGTCTCGACATTTCTCTAAAGTCATGCGACAACTTAACGTAACGCATAACATCTCAAGTGCTTATCATCCTCAGAGTCAGGGGGCGCTAGAAAGATTCCATCAGACCCTGAAGTCACTTTTGAGCTCTTATTGTGTTGAACTTGACTGTGACTGGGAAGAGGGACTTCCTTGGATGTTATTAGCTATCCGTGAAGTCGTACGAGAGTATAGGTTTCAGCCCTAATGAATTAGTGTTCGGACACACTGTCAGGGGCCCTATTGCTGTTCTTGCCGATCAATGGAAGACCTCTGACCCACCAGAGAATGTTTTAGACTATGTAAGTAGCTTTCGTTATAGACTCTATGAAGCTAGAGCTATTGCCCAAAGAAAACTAGGTAAGTCTCGGGTGAAGATGCAGAGATTGTTTGACCGCAAGGTTAAGTTCTGAGAATTTCAAGTAGGTGACCAAGTGTTGGCTTTATTACCGGTTTTGACTAGTCCTTTCCAGGCTAGGTTTATTGGACCTTATACGATCACAAAATGTTTTTCAAATAACAACTACTTATTAAACACGCCTGATCGCCGAAAGAAATTACAAGTTTGTCATGTTAATTTATTAAAAACTTATGTGACCCCTGTGACTTCTCTCTGTTGATATTGTCAACCACTGCGACCGCTGGTCAGAACACTTCAGAAGTATCTGAAGAGATGGTGGGAAATTCGGGTTCAGTAGCTACGGAAGAAGATAATGGTCCTTCTCGAGGAGTCGTGGAGGGAAGACTTAATGATTCTGAAATTTTTGCTAATTTGACTCCCCATTTGTCTGAATCCGAGAAGTCCGATATAATGAAATTGGTAAGTTCGTTCCCCTCTTTTTTTTTTTTTTTTTTTTTTTTTTTTTTTCCTCTCCCACTTCTCTTTTTCACATAGTTTTAAATTTGTCATTCAAGAGTTGTAATTTTGTAATTTTGTAATTTATTGTGTCAACCACTGCGACTGTTGGTCAGAACATTTCAGAAGTATCTGAAGAGATGGTGGGAAATTCGGGTTCAGTAGCTACGGAAGAAGATAATGGTCCTTCTCGAGGAGTCGTGGAGGGAAGACTTAATGATTCTGAAATTTTTGCTAATTTGACTCCCCATTTGTCTGAATCCGAGAAGACCGATATAATGAAATTGGTAAGTTCGTTCCCCTCTCTTTTTTCTGATGTCCCTACCCGAACTCATGTCATTGAGCATGACAATGATGTTGGCACAGCTCAACCTGTAAAACAACATGCGTATCGAGTAAGTCCTATAAAAAGGGAATTACTTCAAAAGGAGGTGGATTATTTACTCACTCATAACTTGGCAGAACCCACTTTTAGTTCTTGGAGTTCACCATGTATTTTAGTGAGTAAACCTGATCATGCATATCGTTTTTGTACTGACTACAGGAAGCTTAACTCTGACAAAACCTGATTGTTACCCCTTACCTAGAATTGATGATCGTGTTGGCTCCGCAGAGTTCGTCAGTAAATTCGACCTTCTGAAAGGCTATTGGCAAGTGCCTGTGACATCTCGTGCGAAGGAATTATCTGCTTTTGTTACACCTGACAGGTTCCTGCAATACACCGTTATGCCTTTTGGGGTCCGAAATGCTCCCGCCACATTTCAGCGGTTGGTAAATCGAGTACTGACTGGGTTGTCAGGGTGCGAGGCTTACTTGGATGTTGTTGTTTTTTAGTTCTTCTTGGTCCGAACATCTTGACCAAATTAGAGAGCTTTTTGTACGTCTTGCTAAAGCCAATTTAACCATTAACCTTGCCAAGTGCGAGTTTGGGAAAGCCACTGTGACCTATTTGGGTAAGGTGGTTGGTCGCGGTTGTGTAAAACCAATTGATGCTAAAGTTGATGTTATTGGTAAATTCCCTACACCTGCTACCCGTCGTGAACTCCGTAGATTCCTAGGAATGGTAGGATACTATCGAGGGTTTTGTCAGAATTTTGCGAGTGTAGTTACTCCTTTGACTGATTTGTTGAGTCCAAAGAAACCATTTAAGTGGTCAGAACAATGCCAGTGTGCTTTTAATAATACTAAAGCCCTTTTAGCCAACGCACCTGTGCTTGTTGCACCAGATTTTAAGAGGTCTCATCTCCTTGCAGTTGATGCCAGTGCTTATGGTGCCGGTGCTGTTCTTTTGCAGGAAGATGTTGATGGAATTGAACACCCGGTTAGCTATTTTTCTAGAAAATGTAACCGCCATCAGCAGGTTTATTCCACTATTGAAAAAGAGGCATTAGCCCTGGTGTTGGCTGTTCAACATTTTGAGGTCTACTTGAGCTCAATTTGTGGTCCTATCATAGTGTATACTTATCACAATCCTTTGACCTTCTTGGACCGGATGCGTGGTAAAAACCAAAGAATCATGAGGTGGAGTCTTATCCTACAATCTTTCCATCTACAGATTAAACGCATACGCGGCAAGGATAATTTGATTGCCGATGCTCTCTCACGTGTGTAAAAGGTTTTTTTTCCGGCTGTGCCCTTCTTCTTTGTCTCTCTTCGATATCCTAGGGCCCAGGAGATCCAGGAGTGAAATGGAATGGGATTGCAGAGATGAGTATCAATGGCCTTAATTTTTTTTTTTATAATTGTGATTTATGCATTAATCTTGTTTTATTTATTATTTTTTTTTTGTCGGTTCTTTAGGGAACCTCTTTTTGGTGTGGGACGTGTGACGACCCTGAGTGTTCTCCTTACCTGTTGGTGGCAGACTGTGGGAGTTTTGAGTCACTCCCCCAAGTTAATTAATCAATTAATGATAATTAGGGGTGTAGACTATATAGGGACTTCAGATTGTTCATTGAGGTTAGCACTCCTGGAGGGATAGTTCTCCCAGGAGCAGCTCTTGACCAGAATGTGACATCGCTCTGATTTATATGGTCTGTTATTACGGTTTTTTTGTATCATGTAGCTTTAGGATTTTGTTACTGTTATTTCTTTTGTTTCTCTATTTTTCCCTAGACTTTTTTCTTTTTGGGCTTATTGTTATATTTGTTAAAGAAAATAAATCAATTTGTATTGATTGAACGGTGGTGTGTGATCCCTCTTATGTTGTGGCTTGTAACGAGCTGGCCGTAACAGTGCCCATAGAGCACCCTGTATAATTGTTTGTGCTACTACATGTGCACATAGACTAGTTGAGTTTATTCTTTAAAAACACTTGATTACTTTGCTGTAAGTGTTCTTTGAAATACTTAGGTAAAAGGTTGTTGATGCTATGCATTTTAGACAGTGTGCCTTGTTAAATTAGGATAACTGTTACAGGTGTGACTATGTAAAATTCGTTTGTCTCCTGCATGGAACACTTGGCTATTTTCCATATAGCTACAGTAAACCATGTTGCGACGCGGATACAATGTTTCACAATTGTATTATCCTTTCTAAATTGGCTTCTAATTGTTTCATTATGTAATTGGCATGATACAATTTTACTTGACTAATAATAAATTGTTATATTTGATTTATTCTGAACTCTCCTGAAATCATTATGACTAGGAGCTAGACAAAATATAAACTAAATGATGATAAATTCAGAAGCGCAAGTAAAAGACCGAATACGCATTAAACCTTCGACCAGGCCGCTGGATTCCGCTTTTTGGGCTGGCGGGTGGGTTCTTACAGTTGGTGACCGTGTAAGATCAAAAATTATCAAAGACTTCTGCTTTTCTGTCCCAAACCTTTCTTCAGTAACAAAAGGGCCATTTGGCATTCCTGAAGGCACAGAAGTGCTGATATCGATCAAGGCCTGTAGGCCAACATGTGTATACATCGGGGGTCTGCTAATTGTCACACCTTTTGCCCAGTGGGTGAAGTTGTAATCTGCTGATTGGTCAGTTTGAATGTCTCACATTTGGTTTTTAGTCACATGGTCAAGAAAGGGATAAAAGAGGACTGTAACTGTTGCTCTGTCTCTTTCCTTTGCTACCTCTTTTGCTTTGCTCTTTCCTTTGCTGCCTCTCTCTTCTTGGAGCTCTGCTCTCTCTCTCAGGTAATATTTTACATACATGCTGGGTACAATTAATTGTTTATGTTTTACCATCCTTCATCTATTTTGTAACCAATTCAAGTGTAACCATAACAAAACGTTATTAAACCATTTCAATTATTAATTATCTGCTAACTAGTCTTGATTCAAGGTTAATATTAAAGTGCTACCTATTGCAATACAATAGTCACTCAATAGCAACGCTCTCCCACATATTTAGCTATTCTAACTGTGCTTATTTCCGTCGTTGGTATAAGTGGCAGTGGGTGGTAATAGACTAGAAATGTACAGTTTTATACCATGGTGCTGATAACGTTTCTTTAGTCATTTGGCAATCCTACAGCCTGAACCACCGTAGGGAAACCATCCTTACAACTCTATTTCACAATTTACCTGTATATTTCAATCACATCATAAAAGCTTCATAAAACTTGATGAACATGAATAGCAAAATAAGGAAGCATGCCTAGTTTGGTGAAACAGGGCCTTCTTCAGCATATTTACACATATAACTAAAATATAACAGGACTCTCCCACCTTCTGCCTTCACTGGTGTGTGTTTGTGGTCTCAATGCGGGATCACTGGTCTCTTCATCTGCTCCTGTAGAAGATTCTTCTGTTTCAAATGACCATAAGAAGATAAAAACACAGTTGTTTAGAAATAATGTGATCATGGGAAATTAAATATAAAGTTTAAATAGTATGATTTGCATTTTAATTTAATGCATGTGAATGTTTGTTTTGAACTTTCTATTTAGGACTGGTTTCATTATTGGACAATTCTACGGTAAGAAATAGTTCAACATTGTTATTTAAAGGTGTTCTTAGGATATGCATTAAAAGGATTTTTATAAATGCATACCCTATATTTTCAAAAGTACGACAATTGCATGCGTTTCATACCCCTTTTGCATCTCTTCATTCTCACATATGCCAGAGTCACTGAGTGAAGTGTTGCTTTGAGAATACAGTGCTCTGGTGTTAGTGATCCAGTCATTTATATATGGCCTGTTTTGGTCATCAGGTAATCTGTTCCAAGAGCCTTGAAATGCCTGTTTTGTGAGCTTTGCAGTTGGTTTTAAAACTAGAGATAGACAGAAGACAGTTTGACCATTTTTTTTAACAGTTATCACACTTTTCTACTTAATGTCATTGTTTTTTATATTTGATCTGCAAATACATGGACTTCATTTACGTACCCTCAAGTCATTAAAACCTGTATGATTTATGTCTTTCCCTGTATGGGAAGTCGTGGCCTAATGGTTAGAGAGTCGGACTCGTAACCCAAAGGTTGTGGGTTCGAGTCTCGTACCGGCAGTGATTGTGGGTGGGGGGAGTGAATGTACAGCGCTCTTTTCCACCTTCAATACCACGACTGAGGTGTCCTTGAGCAAGGCACCGATACTTGGCCACACGTCACTCACTTTCTTTTTTTTTTTTTTCTTTGAAACACAAAGATGAAAAAAAATGCCTCAGTGTTTTTTTGGCAATGCAATGAATTTCAGTGGGGTCTAATGTTATTGGTTTCCAGTGCTCTTCAAAATATTTTCCATGTTCCACAGAAGTAAGTAATACAGGTTTGGAACAGTGAGTGAAACACAGAATGATTATTTTTGGTTTGGTTTAAGCTCTGTTGACATGAGACTTGTCACACCGAACTTGTCTGTGTAAAGTTACATCTAATCTGTCAACTAATATCATGCAAAGCCAGTTAACATGTCAAAGCACCAGTTTATCTGCATATGTGTGCAAAGACATTGGAAAGGGACATGACATAACTATTCACAATGTTTACAATAAATCAGCTAAGCCACTGAAATTATGTCTGTAACAAGTTTATTCATCTTCAATAGTCTCACGCTCAAAATTAAATTTTTTAGAAAAAAGAGGCACATACACTGGGAAGATTCAGAAACTGGAGACCAACGACCCCCAGTGCTGCTAAATGTAGTCAAGTGACCGTCTCCTTCAAAGTCAATGCCTGCAACACACAAATATATTAGTTTTTTGTTCATAGTCTCACTTTTGTCACAAGTATGTTCTGTTTTGTGTTTTTTTTTCTTTTTCTCCCTGCTCCCATTTGCTTGCCTGAGTTCCCTAGTTAGTCTCATTGGTTGTTAATTAATCGTTCTCGTAAATGCTATGTGGTTGTGTTTCTCTCCATTGGTCTCCTGTTTATTGTGTGGATTTATTGTCATTAAAGACTATTTTTGGTAATCTCCTTCATCATGCACTTCACTACAGCCACTACACTTCCAATGTTTAAGTCTTCCAAGCTTAAATGAACCATGTCTGCCACAAAGTTCCATAATTTAACAATGTTTAGCTACAACTTATAGGTAGTAAAAATATGACTCACCAATACTGCTCCTTACCTAAAAGAACCATTTAATACAAATTAAAAACATTGCAAATAACCAAGATAAGGTACACATTCTCAGATGATTTTTGCTGAAAGATCATACCTCTGTGACAGTTTCAGTGACGTCACTGTCTGTGGTGTAGTTGAGTTTCCCCAGCGCTGCACATTTGATCTCGTATTCAGTTCCTGATCTCAGATCAGTCAGAGTAACTACGTCTTGATCCTTCATCACAGGTTCAGATGTCCAGACTGAGTCCTGCTTCGGTTTATACAGTAATCTCAGCTCCACTGTAGCAGAACACACTGGAGGAACCTTCAGAACCACAGTGTTTTCTGTGACCTCTTCAGTGACTGGACAGACTGCTTTGGATGGAGGAATAAAGCAAACAGCTTCATCACATCCATGTTCATACAGCAGAATATAGGAGGCAGGATTATTCTTCATCTCTCTTGAGGACACAATGAACATGTCTGATTTATGATCTTCTAAATCCATCAACTTTTTAAATACCTCTAAGTTGCTCTTCATGTTCTTTTTGGCATCAGGGCTGAGCCAAGACTTTTGTTCTGAATCAGGGTTGTACTCATCAGTTTCTCCTTTTGCTGAAGGATTCAGATAGACCTTTTGTTGAAGCAGCATCACATCTGTTCAGTTCAATGATGTGAATGTGTAACAGATCAGATTTCCATCTTCCTGATTCATCCAGATGGCATCTAGATTGACTTCTACTATTGCACCATAATCCTTTAGCCGTCTGATGACTGATTTAATGATCTCAGACTCTCTTTCTCTCTCTTTCAGCCATTCTGCCAGGTCTCGTCCTCTGAATGGAGATTTATTATGATCTTTTAGAAGATCATTCAGTGCTGTTTCCTTCATCACGTCTCCACGGATGTTTGGCAGCAGAGAGCCGAGTTTCTCCACCAGTCTCAGCTTGTACTCACAGCAGTTTTGCTTCATTTGCAGGATTTTATCACAAAATTCAGCAAAAGTTGAAGCAGGTGAGTCTTTCAGAAGATCACTGCATCTCATCTCAACTGTATTTAAACTCCCAATCATTGATTCAGTTTTAATAATGAGATCCATGCTGATGTCTTTCTGAAGTTTTGAAGCTCTTGAGTAAAGTTTGTCCAGAGGATAAAGCCAAACTCTCAGAGGAACCATCAGCTCTTTGTTTTCTCCCAGCAGTTTTGGAAGATCAGTGAAAACCTTCAGTGCATCTTCAAAAGAGGTCGGGTTAGACGGTAACTGGAAATCACCATAAAATGTGCATGTGAATTTCTGGACTGCATTCTTCTGTAAAAACCCAATGCCTGAACAGATGCTCGCTCGCTCTCTTGATCTTTGGCTCTTTCACCTTGTTGACCGCGCTACAAAGTGCTCACACGCTGTAACATCACGCGAGCGAGACTCCAGAACTCAAACCTTCCGTTGAAACTTTGTGAACGCCGAAGTCTTCAAAGTCTAAAGCCAAGCAAAGAAACTCTCAGAAGAACTTTAAGCATCACTCTCCGTACCTAAGGCAACCGACTTCTGAAGCTCCTAAGTCACAAGGAAACCAACCATTTACCATGAGGGCTCTCCCAAAAAGATGACATCCAAACGACAGATCGGCAACCAATCAGAGGCTTCGGGATTCCCTCAGGCAGAAAAGGAAACCCCTCTTAGCTTTCCAGCTCAAACGCAAGTAACAAACAAAATCTTCTATCTGCTGAAACTGGTGCTGAATCGATCTTAAGCAACTAAAGATAAGCCAAATCTCTGCTTTTGTGATTTTCTTGGTGCGATCTAAGAACGAGTAACTTACTAGATCTTTGGGATTTTCTTAAAACTCCGTTAAACTCTCATCTTCAGAACTGTATGTGTGTTTGTGTGCTTTTGATAGTTTTAGTTCCATGTAATCTATAGAGTAGTTCAAATAAATTCATGTTTCATTATAAGAATCATTGTCTTGTGTCGTGTATTTTAAAAGTTAAAACTTTGCCCAGATCGTGCTACCTAGCTCGTAGCTTAACAATCATCACTAACAGTTATTATGACCGTGGCCAGGACATAATATAAATATCCAAATTGTTAAGATATACTGATGTTAACGTCTCGCTGGACGAACAGTTGATAAAGTGTAAAATATCAAATTTGGAATCAGTTGTAATCAGGTTGACTTTGAATTTTCAGATTCGAATTCCCCTCTCAAAAGAGTTAATTTTCCTACACTATGGTGGAGAATGCGAGCAAATTTGACTTATAATTCATAACACCAAGACATTGTGGGTTGAATCTTTTCTATTTTTATCCGGAGAATATATTAGAGACACAGAAACAGAGTTGTTGTGTTACTGTATACTTTATTGTGGCATGCCAGCGTGTTGAAGAGAACTGCAGTAAAACATTTAAATTTTGTCTGTTGAGACAAGAGTTAGTCGCTCTAAAAGCGCACAAGAAAGAAGTGAGCGTGTTCCTCGTTTTCCTTTCTTTCAAAAGGCCTTCATAGTTTGATTTGTAGTGTGCGTGTCCCACTTCTTACCGAACTATGCTAACGTTATGTATCTGCCTGGTTTGAGAATATTAGATTAGCTAACTGATACTCCTCTGCCATTTATTCACTAAAAACTAGTGAACTTGAAACGCGGAGCTCAGAGAGAGTGTCTGAACGTTATTTTATGGGAGAATTGTGAAAGCTTGATCAAGTAGAATTGTGGTTAAATCCATGTGTTTTTTTTTTCTGTCTATATAGGCTAACACAAAGTGCTTAGATCCGCCGAGATCTACAATAACGTTATTGTATTAATTGCAGAAAATCTGTAGATTAATTTATGAAGAAAAGGGTATTTTGTTTTGTCTTTCTCTCTCATCTTACCATTAGCTCTTATCTTTCTTTGAAAAAGTGGAAGCAGCCAATTATAATTCTGTTCCTTGCTCTGTTTGTTATTCTTCTTTTCTCCCTCTGTTCTCTAACTGTGCTACCTGTGCGTGTGCTTACTAATTTTCCCCACAGAGACCACAAATTAGAAGCACGCCCACCAGAGGATCACAGTCGCTGAGAACCACACTCACCTGCCCATTACACACTCAACGTCAAACCACACTTGACATTGTACACTTATACCTCTGTTTTGCCTTGTTTGTTTTGTCCTCTTCAAGGTCTGTGTCAGTCTATGTTCTAGATCTCCCTCACCGAGTCAAAACATGTCTCGCACAACAGACTCTGTTGGCCACTGGGAGGACCTCGAGACATGGCTAAGTGTTGCAACAGACAGCCTCCTACCTAAGGCTGCTGAAACACTGAAGCATCAGACACAGGACCAGCTGGATGACAACATAAGATTTATGAGACAAGACCCAAGTCAGAGCTACAGTCACAAAGAACTAGCCAAGATCACTGGCTCCTTAAGCCACACACTCATCGCCACCCTCAAGCTGAGCGACAGGCACGCCGCCCATCTCCAGCAGGAGCTAACACGCGCACAACGACGCGTCGAGCAGCTAGAAATGGAGGCTCAGGAACGACGGGAAGGGACCGATGAGGTGGAACAAGGCGCCGAGGAGGAGATCACCAGGCTAAAAGGGACCCTAGCAGCTACTACCCAAGAAATGGAACAAGGCAAGGCAGACTACGCTGATCTCTCCAACAAGCTACAATATGCAGAACAGCTCCTGGAAAAGGCAAAGACAGACTTTAGAGGCAAGAACGGCAGAATTAAAGCCCTTGAAACTCACTTGGATGAGTCAAGGAATGAGATAAGCCGTCTATCACTACAGCTGGACTACATAAAAGAGGAGTCCGACAGCATCAGAGAGGAACTCAGACATGCCTACGAGCTGCACCCTGAGCCTACAAGGACACGACGGCCACCAGTCTCACCCCACATCAAAGAGGAGTCCGACAGCATCAGAGAGGAACTCAGACATGCCAACGAGCTGCGCCCTGAGACTACAAGGACACCACGGGCACCAGTCTCACCCCTGCTGAGCAGGACCGGGTCCCCTGTTCCTGGACTGACACGTGATCAAAGGGGGAGGGGGCAGTGCTGAAACATTCACCAGCTCCCTTTGAAGAACTTTACCTCACGACAAAGCTAAAAGAACCTGCTCCAGCCAGCCACAGATCATCGCATGGCTTGGACCTCAAAGACCTCGGCAAACTTCGCCAGGAACATTGCCAAATTCACCCAAGTGGTGCCAGTTAGCCAGGATG